CAGACTGAAACAGACTCATGGGAAGACACTGACATGAGACCAGGCAACCTCAAGGAGGTCCTATATATGTGTACCTGACAGGTAAATACACCGTGCGTTAGCGGACTGTGTAATGATGTCCAAAGTCAGGGAGGGACCCATGAATTAATTTAGGGTGTTGCCCAAAAATTAAAACTGCGAAAAAGACGGATTTTTGCCGTTATCTAGAACTTATAAATTAGAATTGTCAAGTCAGATCTACATGTATACTGCTTTCTGCTTCCCAAAAATATTTAGAACTTCCCTTTTCTAAGATCGTGACATTTATAATTTCCCAGCCGAGCGGAGCGATGCACTTTTTTTTCTCTGAAGATGTAATTCTAAACTTTTTCAAGCTTTGACGAGCGTAGAAAACAAGAAATTATCGGACATTTTCCATTGACAAACAGATCGAGTGAGGCGAAGAATTGTTTTCTGAGTTTGCGGTATTATTCAAGATTATATTTTATAATGTAGATTCTGTAGATTCACTCGATAATGCGCGTGAGAGTCTACACGTACATGTAGGCCAGGTATTAATGACCCAGTGTCCCAGTTCCCAACTTTCAACTTTCCCTATATTCAGTAACATACAAAACCTTTATAATGTGAAACCAACATCACCGTTTATTATACAATCATTTATTTAGACCTATTTGAATCCTGTATTGGGCGGTATTTTCTCACTTCACAATTCCTTAGTAGAACTGCGGGACAATACTGGTTAAGTAGCGCCGGCCTTGTTGAAACTTAACACATTACCGACTAACAGCTTCAGTGAACCTGTTTATTGTATAATTTAATGTCGAGTTGTATTGTCAGTTCGGGTATTGTTCCCCTATTATCATCGTTAGTAATGCATAACAATACATTTTTGTACTTGGCCATGGCGGTGTTAAAACAAATTATTCGTCCCAGAGACTGCGCCTAACAAATGTATACGCCCAGTCACATAAACTAAAATCTGGACTATTCATTTGTTTACGTATGTGAATTTCAATTTAACTTTCTCCTTTTTGTATAAAGTAAACAATATATAGAATGAATTATGTTTACATCCTTCAATCAAGAAATGCTGAAAATGATGCGAATAGTAAATTTACTATTTCAGTGGGACAGCAGACATTTGGTAAAATGAACGGTTATCTTATAAATCTCCTTTAAGTGACCATAAAGCTTATATTATTATCATCAAACCTTTTCAGTGACACTTCTATACAAATATTCAATCTTGAGCTATTTAGGAATTATTTGTTTTGAATTCCAACGAATGGAAAATCAAACAGACATGAGTTTACTTTAATAAATAACACGATCAGAAAATATCACGGATTCGTGTGTTTGTTTTAAATATTGAGGTACTCTTAGTCTATGTTAAGATAATGATTACGAAGTAGGTGTGTGATATCATAATCATAAGTTAGGTGTTCTTGGCCCAGATTATATAAGTAAAATATATAAACCAATGCAAGATATCTTATAAAGTATATAAGATATCTTATAAAGTATATAAGATATCTCGTAAAGTATATAAGATATCTTATAAAGTATATACGATATGTTATAAGTATATAAGATATGTTATAAAGTATATAACATATCTTATAAAGTATATAAGATATCTCATAAAGTATATAAGATATCTTATATAATTTATGAGATATCTTCTATACTTTATGAGATATCTTATATACTTTATAAAAAATATCTTATGTACTTTATAAGATATCTTATATACCTTATAAGATATCCTATATACCTTATAAGATATCTTATATCCCTTATGAAATATCTTATATACTTTATAAAATATCATATATACTTTATAAAATATCTTATATACTTTATGGGATATCTTATATACTTTATAACATATCTTATATACTTTATAAGATATTGTATATACTTTATAAGATATATTATATACTTAATAAGATATCTTATATATTTTATAAGATATCTTACATATTTTATAAGATATCTTATATATTTTATAAGATAACTTATATTCTTTATGAGATATCTTATATAATATATAAGATATCTTATATCTTTTATGAGATATCTTATATAATATATAAGATATCTTATATCTTTTATGAGATATCTTATATAATATATAAGATATCTTATATCTTTTATGAGATATCTTATAAAGAAAGGTATATAAGATATCTTATAAAGTATAGAAGATATCTCATAAATTATATAAGATATCTTATAAAGTTTACAAGATATCTCATAAGGTATATAGGATATCTTATAAGGTATATAAGATATCTCATAAAGTATAGAAGATATCTCATAAATTATATAAGATATCTTATAAAGTACATAAGATATTTTTTATAAAGTATATAAGATATTTCATAAGGTAAATAAAAGATATCTTATAAAGTATATCAGATATCTCATAAAGTTTATAAGATATCTTATAAAGTATACAAGATATCTCATAAGGTATATATAAGATATCTTATAAAGTATATAAGATATTTCATAAGGTAAATAAAAGATATCTTATAAAGTATATACGATATTTTATAAAGTATATAAGATATCTTATAAAGTACATAAGATATTTTTTATAAAGTATATAAGATATATCATAAAGTATATATAAGATATCTTATATAATTATAATTTGGTTAAGTACTGCATCAACAACTTGGCTTGCCATAGTTCACGGTTGTAAATTTGACGGACTAAGATCAATATAGACAATCGTTCGTTCTTCAAGTCAATACCATAAAATGGGTTCATAAATCATGCACATGTACACTAATGCTGTCTAGTTAGGCGTATTTCTTTGATAAAAACTTTACCAAGTGACACACAGACAAATAGCGCGTGTTTATCAAGCACGGCCACTGACTACAGGGTACATAGAGACCAGGGGGTGTTTTACCTCATTCTGTAGTAAAATCCCCGCTAACCGAGAACATTCTGATTGATGCTTTAAAATGGTCAACAATGTTAGTTTTCCCGTCAAACAAATACTGCGGTTAGCTATCACAAGAAGTTGATATTCAGCTGAACGAAACATGCAAGTACATTTATATCTCGAACACTGCATACAAGAACGTCATCAGAATAAAGATTGTATAACAGAACAAATTAAATAAAGTGAATTCAACCCCGAGTCCAATATACTGTGATTTGATGTCTAAATGTAATATTATAGATGGACTGTTTACTTAACCGACATACATAGTCTTTCTAGTTCTGTGTATGGTATTAAACACAGCGTGTTGTGTGAACAACATTGTGAAGCATGTATATTAAATATTGTTATTATTGTGATGTTTAAAATGTTAAACTATTCATAATAGTGTATTAATCGGCGCAGCATTGGGGAAATAAATGCCAAGTTTGACATTCTTTGACAAGTCTATATTATGAACGATAATGCATTATTAGTTTTATTAAGCCCACTTTGGAATATAATGTGAACATTTTTATAATGGAAAATACAAAGGCATATGCATGTATTTGATATCAACGCGAAAAACTGTTAATTCTTGAGTTTACGTTTTGTAAATTGGTTCCATGAAACGATCTTTTTATTAAACAAAATATTTGCATTGAGAAAAAGGACCCAGTTTGAGATCGGGAACGTTTTCAGGTATGCCGAGAAGTTGTGTTTGTGCTCTATCTACGTACATTATGTATATGTTTCACTATACCTGTATACATATAATGCTGTTGCACTCCCCAACCGCCAACTCCTCAACCCAATCAATTCACGATTCTGTTAATCCGTCCCTGACTCTTTGTACTGATCATTTAGACATAAATAACGGAATTTATCAGTAAACTCCGTCATTTAATCATTTATTGGTTGTATGGTCTTCGTAAACCAAACGTTATGTTTGATGTACCTTCCAATATGGATTACTTCCCCTATCCCATGTTAAAAAATAGTTTTCTTAGAAAAGAACTGTCGATCACAATATGACACACACAAACACATTTCCAACTGAGTTAAATTAAAAAAATATCACGATTGGTAAACTAATTATAGCATACCACCAGATTATTAATTAAAAAATCAGAAAATCAGAAAATAATCCACCAACATGTTATATTCTTCCAGATCGTTGGTTTGATCACGGAATTAGATTAGGTTCGATCTAGCATTTTTGAAAATCCTGTTAAGGATTTGCTCTTCTGAGGTTTAATCAAGTTACAATCTCGTTTTGGTCGTGGTGTCACAGGATTTTAATAAATTTAACAAATTTTGATCAATTTTGAAAGCAAACGCGCATTTGAAAATGTGTCAAAAAACTAGAAACCAATTATTTAAAGAAGCTTTTTACAATTGAAAAAAAAGAAACCAGCTTGGTGGCCATTTTGAAAATGTGATTTTTTTACGCTCCACGCAACGGAAAAATTTCAACGTTTATTAATCTTGACTGATTAATCACTAAAATTATCACCGCTTCACCAATTTATAATTGTAGCGAGTTTAATTTTGCTGTACAAGTTGAATGTTCAATGTTATGAAAATAATATGTAACAAAGTGGCAAGTAATACAATATCAGTCATACTTATTTATATCGGCTGAAGCTCATTTTTTTATACTGCAAAAGCTGAATTATGACACAAAAGGCTGTACTGGTTTAAGAAGAGAAACCCATTTCCTTTGTGAATATTAGGCGCATTTCCTTTCAATCCAGTGAATGTAAGTAAAAGATAGCCCTGAGAACTGTTTATATCAACTAAACAAACTGGTGAAAAAATGAGGATTTTTCAATTAAAAAATTAGAGGCACGGGTAACCTGAACTGCTTTTCTGAGATCAAAACATAATTTTGTTCTCTGTTTAAAATAAGGTAACATTTGCTAAAAAAATGTAAGTTAGTAGAATATTTTGACTTTTCTTATGAGCAGATCCTTAATAGTGTCTGCATTCTTTTGTAGGTCAACTGATGGTATATATCGTTCCGTATTTTAGTCGAATTCGTTCCGTATTCCGTTCCGCGTTTTACTTGCATTAAATCCAATATGGCGGACGATGATGGAAAGGTTTGTCAACAAATGAAACTTTACTGCGTTTTATGTCTGTCTGAGTTTTGAATTCCTTGTCATCGACTCACACACATGCTAAAAGTTATTTCATTAGATAACTGGTGTTCTGTAAATATTCAACGTTACTGGGGGGTTCATGATTTATAAAATAGTTCAAAGTCCACAATCCATGCACCTTCCACAGGTAGCCCGAGTTTCATCTGGCTCTGACACCGGGGCCGTTTTCGTTTAAACGGTCAAACCGGTCGGACCACTGTTGTTCGTTTATTAAATAAGGTCGGACCTAGTAATCTGATGCTGCCTGCAGGCGAGCCTTGACAAAGCCTTGCATGGCCTGCATAAACATTTGCAGGTCCGCCAGGATTAATACCTGAAATTGTTACATTTATAAATGGTCAAACCGGTTGTTCCGCATAAACGAACAAGCCCTAGACTTAGACATTTTGACAGATATATGTCTGGTGTATATCTATCTGGCAAAATGTTTTAAGTCTAGTGTCAGGGCCAGAGGAAACTCGGGCTAGTCCACAGGGACTAGAGTAGTCTACAGTAGCACTCAATAAGAGGCTTGACACGGTGAGGTATTTTTGACCACAGGTTACTGTTAGTAACTAGCCTCGTCTGTTAATACACCTATAATATAATCAAGGTTGCTAACTCCGCCCCCTAGTAAAATGACCAAGTTCCAGAAAACATGCAATTTTGTCATAACTGTTCATAGAATGACGCGAGGAGGAGTCTAGAAGTGACAGAAAAATATTTTCCTTTAATTTGATTTGCCATATATCATGCAGTATAATTTTCGGTAGACTTCATGAAACATCGAAAAATCAGTTGGTCGGACACTGTGCTGTCCACAGGATGACATGCTAAATCCCTAGTGGGTAGCGCAAAACACACGGCATGTCAGCTATTCAATGTTGGTACAGTGTTTCTACGATAGGAAACAAACTTACTTTTATTATCATGTCGGACATCTGAGTCCAGTTTTCAAGCTAGTCAGGCTGACAATCGGAAATCTGAACAGAGCCTGCCATTTTCTCCAACTTTTGTAACCTCAGCGCTGATTGTTCCGTTAAATTTAGAAGCCAATCAGCGTCGAGGTCACAAAAGTTAGAGAAAATGGCAGGCTCTGTTCAGATTTCTGATCGTTAATATCAACTTCATCCCGAACGTGATTGGTAAACTTCTCAAAAATCTCGACGCACATAAGGCACCCGGCCCAGGTAACATCTCACCAAGGGTCTTAAAGAAGACACGCGCGGCCACAGCTCCATTACTTAATCTTTTCTTCACAAAGTCATTTGCAACGGGTGTGGTTCCGGCTGACTGGCGCACTGCCAACATATCGCCTGTCTTCAAGAAAGGACAGAAGTTTGTCGCAGCGAATTACAGGCCGATATCCCTCACATCTGTTTGCTGCAAAGTAACGGAGCACATCAACACCTCTTCCATCAATTCATGTCCCATGGCGAGAAAACATCATTCTCTATGACCTGCAGCATGGTTTTAGGAAAGGCAGATCATGTGAGACCCAGCTGATCAAGTTATAACCAACATTAAGTGGGTATACACATCCAGAAGATTGTTAGCAAGGCAAACAGGATGCTGGGCTTTCTACGTATGACCTGCAGATTTCCTCCACCAAGATAAAATCCATGGCATACTTCGTGCTTGTAAGACCTCTGCTGGAGTATGACTGCACTGTTTGGGACCCCCAGGCCAAGGGGAACATTAATCAAATCGAGCAAATACAGAGAAGAGCAGCGCAGTACGTAACCTGCCGCCACAGACACACCTCCAGCATCTCTTCAGAAAAGACGAGATGACACTCGCCTGGCTATGTTGTGCAGGATCGACCGTGGCCTAGTTGCGATAAGTAAAGGCGGAAGACTGCTACCATCTCGCAGACTTGGTAGAACTGTCTCTTTGAGATAAGAAATTGTCCAAATACATGTACATCTCCCTCTTTTGGGGTCCCCTTGTCATTGGTTATGTTTATAAGTAAACGGGCCTTTACTGTACAAATTGAGTGGTCAAACTGGACATTTGGAATTTTCTATGAATGTGGCAATAGCAAGGAAACATAACTGGCAGTACAGACAACACATACATTCAATAAATGAAATATTGTTTTAACGATATGTATGTCTGAATATTGATTGATAGGGAAAACATTTTGTACACTCATGTCATCGATTAAAAATAACAGGTTTTTGCTTTCCTTCCTCAGGTTGAAGTGACTAAAGATGTGTTAGCTCCCGCTGAAGGACCCAGAGAAGAAATTGTATGTGTATTGATACTCTTTGTGTGCCTCTACAAGAACATGTGTTACTGACCAGTATATCAGTTTAAATCATCAGCTAAATATCAGTCAAATGAATGAGACATTTCCTGAACCAAGACATTTTCTTTGTAGCTACTGATACAAGCTAATACAGATAATTTACACTAAATAAACCTCCTTATGCATGCCTCCTGCCAGTTAATGTTTACCCCACACTATCCAGCTAATATATTAGTAGTACTATTATTTGTTACCCTGTATATTCCGTCTTTGCGTATTGCAGAGTTATCTTCTCTTGTGAGCAGGTATTGATTGTTACGTCATTGGTTTGTGTGAGAAAATAACGTCGTTTTCTCAAAAATTGATGACGTTACTCTCACAAACCGATGACGTAACAATCAATACCTGCTCACAAGAGAAGATAACTCTGCAATACGCAAAGATGGAATACATGTATGTGTGATTGTAATCCCTCAGAGTAATGCACTATTTTTTATTTATTGAAGCAACATACTATATAACTTAATGACATATATGCTATGTTAATGTGACATGTATTTGCTTTAGAAAAGTTATCTACCGGTATCAGTAAATCCTGTAAAAAAATATCCACTTGAACCGTAATTGGACTTTAATGCAATGATCCCCAATATATACATATACAAATGAATACCCAGTACAGGGAAAAGCCTGGAATTTGAGAGCAGTAGGCCATTTTCAGCAATTTTTAGTCAATATCAAAATTAAGATGGTCCATTATATGAAAAATTAAAAGAAACATGGAGGGCTCAATTTCAGTTTTTAGGGGTCAATTGCCCCATGGCTCCCTCAATGGATTATCCCTGCAGTATATCAAACAGTTATGATTCTTCTCCAGTATATCAAACTGTCCTGTATTCTTCTCCAGTATATCAAACTGTCCCATATTCTTCTCCAGTATATTAAACTGTCCCGTATTCTTCTTCAGTATATCAAACTGACCTGTATTCTTCTTCAGTATATCAAACTGTCCCGTATTCTTCTCTAGTACATGTAGCAAACTGTCCTGTATTCTTCTCCAAGGTCAAATTCAAAGCAAGAAGTCAAAGGTAAAATGATTCCACTACTTGTCTGAGCCTCATCTTCTAACTGGCTCAATATTTTTATGAAACCTTGATCTTAGAGGAACATGTATCAAAACAACATTTTATTAAGGAGATATTATTTTTGCATTTATGCAGATCACAACAGCTGTAAAATTCTTACAAAATCCAAAAGTCAGACAAAGTCCACTGTCACAGAGGAAAGCATTTTTACTAAAAAAAGGTAAGATGTGTTGATGTGTTAACAGCACTAGGTAATTGGTGATCTATTACTGACTTTATAAGCTCACCTGGCCTGATGTACCTGTGAGATTATACAATGATCTGCTGTCCTTCTCTCAGTCATCCATCAGTCAGCCAATTTCTTTAAGCATCTTCTTCTAAAGAACACTAAAGCCTGTATGCTAGTAAGGATATGTGAGTGTATTTTGTTCGGACAATCAAGTTTTGTTAATTAAATGATAACGTTATAATTATACATATTTAAAACCATGTTTGTAAGATACACGTGTATTTTTCTACAAGAATTCAAAAGTCATGATCCACACATTATGAGGTTTTGAAATATTTTTTTAAGAAATTTCTTGTATAAGTTTTTTTTTGTAAACAGATATGCATCATAACCTACATTCTAAAAGGTAATGGATTTTGAAACCCCTTAAGGTGGCTCCACACATCGTCATCAGCGTCCATTTTCGTGACGTACTTCCGGAAAAAGTACAGCTCGGACTCAATTATCTTGATCGAAATGTGCATGTACACCGTGTCGTCATTTCCGTATTGCGTATCGGGCATTCAATGTCGTTATGCAAATTATAGTTACACCTTGGCCGTTTTCGTTTAAACGGTCAAACCGATCGGACCACTGTTGTTCGTTTATTAAATAAGGTCGGACCTAGTAATCTGATGCTGCTTTCAGGCGAGCCTTGAGAAAGCCTTGCAAGGCCTGCATACACATTTGCAGGTCCGCCAGGATTTACACCCGAAATTGTTACATTTATAAACGGTCAAACCGGTTGTTCCGCATAAACGAACAGGCCCATGGTAAACAATAGTACACGTGCGTGCCGATGATATGTCAACACCCGATATCAAGATTTTACCGGGAAATGTATACTCACACGTACTTCAGGAATAAAGCTTTCCAATTCATAGACATAAACAGACTCACGGGAAGACAGTGACATGAGACCAGACGACCTCAAGAAGGTCATATAGGAAACACATGGAATGCGGACGTACCAACCTCACATGTGCATATCGCGTGTTTACACGAGTTCATAAGCTCGAGGTCGTTACGATTTTCGCTGTTGAGGGAGTTTCGCTCTGTCGATTAAATCGTGTTTACAAATGTAGTCTACTAGCTTACTCTGTGAAAATAATGTTTTGTAAAATATCAAGATACCTATGAAATGCATGTGTGAGTGCACGTGAGAACGGTATACCATGCGATAGCCTCTGGTCTGACATGTAATTATAAATATACCGTGAGTTAGCGGACTGTGGAATGATGTCCAAAGTGTACATGACTGAGGGTAATTTGGTTCCATTAAAGAACAATAAATTGATAATTTTGATATCATATTTTTGATTTATTTCCATCATTTTTGTTATATGTAAACAGGGACAACTGTCATTGTGTAAATGTCACCCCTCTGCAAAAAGTTCCGATTTTTTTCAAGGAAGATAACTCTTACCCGGATCGAAGTGATTGTAAAATGTAAAATAAATTAATTATAAAGCCATTGTGTATATTTTGTTCAATTTCCCATTCTATATGTATAGATCTTTGTGTCCTGTTGGCTTTTAGCTTGTAGATAATCACTTTTATCCGTTCAAATTCAATAAAAAACACTTTGTGTAACATGTGTTACATATTTTGCGATAAATAAAATATTTGTAGGGTTAATAAGAAATGCTTCTTTTCATTTTATTATTGTTGTTATTGTTCCGAACAATGTCACACCCCAAAAAAACCCGGAAAATATTAAAATTGACGAAAATTCAATTTTTTGGTATTTTTCCAAAAACGTCCCCTAACTATCGGAGTGTTAAGATTTTCATAAAATCAACTCTACATTGTTGCATAACCATTATATGAAAGTTTCAACGAATTTCGCTGGTTAATTACGAAAGTGTGGAGCCACCTTAAAACATGCTGAAATTTAAAAACTAAATTTCTGTATCTGTTATTTTCTAAATTAATTGCTTAATACATATCCTCAAAGTCTACCAGAGAGGGTGACATGTACTCAATAAAATCGTACACATGCTACACAAAGGATCTTTGAAATACATAATGTAAACTTTATTTAATAATTTACTAGCATTAGAAGAATAACAGATCAGTTCACAATTGAGGTGTACTCTAAGACTATTTTGGAATTGAAAATGTCATTTTCATAAGAGTTTATATGTGGTTATTAATGAGTAAAGTTTAAAAGAAATCCAACCATTCACAAACCTCATGTTACTCTATCATAGACTAAAATTCACATTCAAATGTCACTTTTTACAGATTTCAATTTCTCTTTTTTAGATTTTTTTTAGATTTAATTTTCTCTTAGTACAGTTTAAATTCTCCTTCAATTTCTCTTTAATACTGATTAAAATTGATCTTTTTATAAATGTCAATTCCTCTTTACACATATTATACATGATTTTATTGCAGGTTTAACCAAAGAAGAAATAGACATTGCAGTTCAGAAGGCAGGTGTAGGACAAGATGACAAGGTCATGCAAGTGTTCCCTCCCCAATCCTCAGGGCAGATGGCTCCACGCTCCAACAGTGGTACTCAGCAGATGGTGTCATCTCCAGGTATGTGAGCTGTGTGTCGGAGATGAAATAATTATAGGTAAAGTAACGTATGAGATATGTAGTTTATAATTCAAACTTAGGCTTGTGTCACCTCTGGGTATGTAGTCTTTTAGTTTTGAGTTCAAATTCAAACTGTTACTTCTAGTTCTACCTGTGCCGATCAATCATTGACCTTACTTGTCACTTTTACATGGGTATGTATGGAGAGGTTAAAATCTTTTGAGTTTAATTTGTTTAACTTATAAATATATTTAACATAAGGTACCTGTAATAGGAGGTTGTTTTTTGTGTCTGATGATAAGAACATGAAATTTGATTTTAACTTGAGATCAATAGGTAGAAAGATTAAACTGTATTTCATGTTCTGATTGCCAGTATAGACATGCAAAACAGTGTGCTATCAACATTATAAAACACGATTTGTTTGATATTTATAAAACAGTATGCTATCAATATTATAAAACATAATTTGTTTGATATTTATGCATTTGTCGTTTGGGATTTAACAACACACTTATTTTTTGTCAATAAAGTACAAAGGACATGTACATTATGTCTGCAAGAATTATCAGGTTGTTTTTGGTTAGGGTTGAATTACTTCAGGTGGACATTACATGATCGAAATATAGCTCTTCCAGAGATAAGAAGTGGATCAGCATCCAATCAAACATGACCTGTAGCCAATCAAACATGACCTGTAGCCAATCAAACATGACCTGTTGCCAATCAAACATGACCTGTAGCATATCAAACATGACCTGTAGCCAATCAAACATGACCTGTAGCCAATCAAACATGACCTGTAGCCAATCAAAACACTCTTTACAAACAAATAACATTTACAGACAATCTTTATTTTGTTTATCCTACCCATCAGTGTTCCTTCCTTTTTCAGTTGATATTTACACGAAATGGCAAAAAGTGAGAGACATACTTTCTGTGATAGCATTAGCCAGTGGATTGACGTATGCTGCCTATAAGTTTTATAAGGTGAGGTGTGGTGTTGTATGTTCTCCTTAACTCTTACAGTTGAGTTGTGTATGATGATACCTTTTTAAAGTCAACTTTTTAATTATATCACTGGCAGATTTCCCTTTATATCAGTATTTCTGAATCACTTGAGCAAGACAATTTGACAGTTTTAGAACCCTGGTTTGTTGGTAGACACAAGTTCAACTCCCAGTGTTGGTAGCAGTTTATACTGAACCTTCAAACAGGGTTGTGATAATTGTATAGGTATTTTCTGGACAGTCTGGGGTAAAACAATGGATTGTCCTTATCAGATTTAGTGTTGTATGTAATAAATACACTAAAAGACACCTTCAGGAATTGTAAACCATTCTTTGTAAATCTAAGATTCTTAAGCTGTTTATTGAAAGTAGACCTTTGTTATCAAAGCAAATTTTTACAATTGCATACAAAATTTGATATACTTTTAAAGGGGATGTTATTATTGTTTCGACATTAGAGTTAAAAAGTCAGAAAGATGAAGAGACATTGCAGGTACCATCAAACGTTATAAGCCACTACTGAGTTTGTGTTCAACTCCTTGACAACAGGAAATATTGAAACCATGGTTACTAGGACAACCACGAATGGAGGAAAGGCTTTTCACTTTGGAGAAACTACAGAGCAGTGTAGTAGAGAGACTGACCGCTGTCCAGGAGACACTGACCGGCTTCCAGGAACAGGTTTCCAAAGAGCAGGAAAAGGTTCAGCAGTTGTCACATGAGATACATGCTAAACAGGTAATTTCATCAGATTTTATTGCCTTTATATATGTCAATAGGATTGGACATCAGGCTAAGCAGATCAAGTCCTTTCCAATGTTATTTTACAAACAAGAGATATATAGGGGGCCTGCTTGATTAAGCGGACCAACCGGTGTGTCTATTTTCTAAATGTAATGTTTCAAGAGTAAAACCTGACAGACCTACAAACAGACCTAAAAATGTTAATAAAGGTCTTTAAAGTCTTTGCCAAGGCTTGCCAGAAAACAACATCAAATCACTAGGTACATCCCTATGTCATAGACGAACAACTCTGGTCCAACCGTTTGGAATGTGATAAATGAAAACAGCCATTAGTGTTATAACAATCCAAATAATAAGTAAGGTAAAGGGAAGACAACTCCAATTAAATCTGTGAAATAAGTCTCCTTTTTTTTTATTAATAACCTACCTTGCACAAACTGGACGAAGTGGTATTCACACTTAAAGGGGCGTGTAGACAGTTGGATCCCAACATGCCCACTGGCACAACTGGAAGGAACTTTAGGTTTACACTGATCATTCAGCCTGCCTGTTCATCAGTTTGTCACATTTGGTATGTGTGTATCTCTTTATATCTCATGCTGAAGTTGGGTCAGATGATCATCAATATAAAGAGTTACACCCCTTAGTTCAATGTGCATCACTTTGTTCTGGGGACTATCAATACAATATGAGGACCTTGTAGAAGCTACCTCATCAGATGTTAAGTTCTGGTCCTAAGTCACCTGGCTAATACATCCACGTTGGTGTATGCTACGACCTCAGGTATTGAATCCCAGTTATATACATTGAAGGTTTCAGTGATTTTCACTTACCCAAATCCACCCTTCGTCTGCCTAGATATTTCTTACTGCAGGCAAAACACTTGAGATTCCACTGTGTTCTTTTTGTATGTACAATAACCCCTTCCAATTTAATATAGTAATAGCATAATTGGGCAAAAAATACTTCCATTGACCAGGTAGCTTTGATTGTTAGAGCAGCAGTGTAACAGTCTGAGGTCCTGGGTTCAAATTCTCGTCTGCACACAATTTTTATATTCAGAAAATTGTTGTTGATTACATTTTGTTTATTCTGTCTGTATTTTTCATAAAAGTCTCACAAGGTAGGGTGTTCATTTCAGATACGATTTGTGAAAGCTGTAGTCATGCAGGGAAAAATAGTTTCCAATGCATATTTACCGATTTTGAAATTGGTACATGAATCCTTATATTGAATGGTAGAAAGCATATTAGGTAGATATATTTATGTTATTCCACATCTTATAAGGTTCTTGTTTCTTTTTATCTCCAGTCGTCAGAAATTTTGCAGACCTCTCAAGATTCGCAAACAATGAACGATGTGAAATCAGAATTATCCAGTATTAAAGGACTTCTGTTGAACAGGTAAGTGTACATGTACCGTACTTGGGCCTTTATAACATTATCACGTTGAGTCATTCACAAGTCAGGTTGTTCACAGGTAAACATGTATCTATATGTCCTCAATATCACAGACACTTCAGTTTATGTCAGGCTGAGTTAAAGCTTACATCTTATGTATCAAAGTAAAATCACATTTAAAACACAGCTTTAGACAGACTCATAACATTTGTGATATTTAGGCTGAGAGTTATCTTCTTACGATAACCTGTCAATAGTTTTATCATCATTACAGAATTAAAGCAGATTGACTTTTTAAGCCTTTCAAATTTTCATGATTTCTAAAATTTCAATACCTTTTTAGGATTAAGACTGTTTAAAAACTATATTTAACTCGACACATGGGCTTCAGGAATGCTCCCTCTCCCAGCATATCTGCAAAGTTCGAAGCCCATTCATAAATAGGGACTAAGACATGCTGGGAAAACCTGAATTACACTATATTTTAGAAATTGTGGCCAAGGTCAAAGGTCAAATTGAGGTCACAGTGACCTTGTGTTAGGATGCGACAATACATCTTACCAAAATGTACCTATACACAACATCTGATGCCAATCCATGAAGCAGCAGCAGGTATAGGCTCTGAAAAGAATTCTTTTAGTCAAGGTCAAATTGAGGTCACCTGATTCATGGATGCAGCTCACCGTCTTCCCATAATGCACCTTTGTACAAATTCTGATGCTGATTCATGAACCAGTGGCGGAGATATTCTCCAGAAACCAGTCAGCATGGATGACAGATGCAGGCATGCATGGACAAAGTGAATACTGAATACTCCCAACTTCTTCTTTGAAGCGGGGGTCTAAAAGATAAACATATAAAGATATTAGTCTATATTGAAGTTACCAATAAAGCTAGCATGTACAGTACCCAAGCTTTCAAAGAAGGAAATTTTGAACTCGTTGAATTCCTTTTGCAGACGCCAGTTTCCTCCCACGCCGGCCAGCACCCCACTTCTACCCTCATGGCAATTGTCCTCGTCACCAGGAGAAAGGTCTGTCCCCATTACAAACGGTAAACCCTCACTAGTGACACCTAGTGGAGATAGTGGAAACATGACGGATGCTTTGGGCATGCTGAATAGCAATGACAATACCAGGGAAGACAACTCTGATGGACAGACTAATGTGAGTTAACTCCTCACTGGAGAGTTTTGATTAACAATTATTATCAGTGTCAAATACTAATGTACCGGTAGCAGAACTTTCCACGGACCGATATCCCTTGTAGTTTAGTATTAGAATCTTGCTCTTTTCCATCCTATTACTATGTGTTATATCATGAATTCATATATTGTCTCTATCAATTCTGTTGATGTATACAACGTTACAACTTTTTACTGGTATTAAAACAAAAATTGGTTAATCCATAATTTTAATATATTAATATTCCGTGGTACAGTGTTCGAAAAAATTACTGATTGCAAGCTATGACAAAGCAAAGGAAAGGCAATTACATTTCATGTGAAATATTAATAAATATTAATAATTATTGTGTCAATTTATTTCCAATTTGAGTTGAAACATCTAAAAATGTGAAGTTTTACTACCTTTAAGAACTAATAGTGGAATGTTACGCACAGGATTAGAAAACTCAGGGATGGAATTGTAATAAGGGTTATAATAAAGGTTTTGTAATTGTATCCCCAACTCACCAACCTTATTGGGTAAGGTAATGACTTTGTCAGTGCATCTGTCTGTGATTAAGGTATGTCATGAACCACTCAACAGTTTCAGTTCATGTTTATACCATGGTTAGATTTTAGTGGTCATTTGTCAAGGTTAAAGGGTCAGAGGTCACAATTGACTTCTTTTTAAAGTAAAAAGCTTGGCTTGTGTACACAATATCTTTAGATCAGATTTAGTTTATATATATAATAGAATAATCACATTTAGTTTTACACTTGATAAGATTTTGGTGGCGATAGGTCAAGGTTAAAGGGTCAAAGATAACACTTGATGNTTTTTGGGGGGGGGGGGGGGGGGGGGGGGGAGTTGTGTCTATGTGAGCCCTTGCTCACTTCCTTTTCATTGGGTCAGACATACATATCAATCTCTTTTAATCAGTGACATCAGAGATCCTATTGTCATCTCTACACTCTTATTTCGATCTCTTGGGAGAGGTCTGTTTCATACAATGAGAAACCAGACATGGCATTCAGGAGTTCTAGCCTAGAGATTACTACAGTTATAAGTCTGAGGCTTGAAGTACACACTTCAGAAGCATTGTGGTAACTATAAGGTATTTTACATAGAACTGGAACTTAATGCTTGATCACTTACTAAGATACATATTTTTGAAAAGTTTATTTTTTGAGGTTGTGAGATAACAGTGAATACCTGTGTATTCTCTATCAATACTCAGAAGAATTCGGCCTACTGCCTAATTCTGTAAGAAATGCTTAAAGTGTACTGTGACTACAGAATGATTTTAACGCAGGACTTTCTTGTGTGCATTTACATACAAACATACCAATTGTTGCAAGTAAATTTTAGATTTTATTCCAAAATTTCTTCGTTCTTACAATTATTTTGTTACCTGTAGTTGTCTATCATTAGACACAATAGCGGACAGGTACACGCACAATGTACTGCTTAACGATAATAAACAATGGGAACAATGGATGATGTCACAACCATGTTTATAGTCATGCAAATCTTTGATTACAGAACTACTACATGTAGTACATCTATTTACACTGGTTTGTATGCAGGTTTTTGTGAGTGTTATGGAAACATAGACTAAAATGTATTTGCGATTATGCGATCACATACTTCTGGTTTGACATACACATTACCTATATGCTCACATGTCAGAAGGTTCTTAATTTCTTCTTGGGGATCTAAATACTAACATTAAACTGGATAATGTTTGGATTTGGATACATGAATCGTAATCACACCAGTATTTTACTTGCATTTTGACAGGTAATCTCAAGTCTTTGCTATATTCACTGTTTCTACAACATGCATGCACACAATTATTAACTTGTGAATGATTCAATATATACTCTAATTTTGCAATTATACAAATCTCAATAGCTGTGCACTAATTTTTTCTATCTAAAAATACCATTTTTGTGTGTCATCTTTGGTGATGCATTTATATGTAACTAAAACTTTGATAAATGATAAATATCTACGATCTACACCATGAACTATAATAAATGTAATGGTATATATACTTTCACAATGTCAACTGTATACATTTTTATTGTTGCATATACCCAGGTAATATTTATCATAAGTTCTCAAATGTATGCTACAACTTCCCAGTGACCAGTTGTTGACTAGGAATGCCAGTTGACAAATGAGCTATACTGTGGGACAGTTTAGTCATCAAAGATAATTTTTAGGTTAATATAGATAAGAACCAAATAAGACAGGATGTTCTATATACACTTTGTTGACCTAGGACTTGTTGATATATTTTTCAGAAAAAAGTAAACTTCAGTGAGTCCGCTATAACAGAGTCCTTACAAGCAGTAACAGAATCTGACACAAAGGTAGATAACTCTGTCACAATGGGAGATAAATCCGCAACAATGGGAGATAAATCCGCCACAATGGGAGATAACTCCACAGAAGAAAGTATGACTGTGTCAGAGGAAGGTCAGATGTCAGAGGTCAACACAACTGAGGCCAAAACCGAAGATGATGAACTTGATTGAATGGAAATATCCTAGTGGATGATCATATTATCATAATCAGAATGGGAGTTTAATAGGTCAAGAGACAGTCAATGTGATATTGATTTTGAATATAGGGATGTGTAATTGGTCGAGTGTGAGTTGATCAATGTTCATAGACCACACAAAAAAATCATACTGGAAGTAGGTTCTGTCTGAAATTGAGTATAACTGAAAGAGTATCAGAGATGAGAAAATGCTACAAATTTATTATCTACAAAGACCACTTGTAGATAGCAGTGTCATCTGAGTAACATGCTAGAGAATAATTATATCAACTTTCATAAATATCAGAATTAAAAAACGAAATCTTTTATTTCGATAGCATCTGAATGGGACAAGAAATGCAAAAAGAATGATGTTATTGAAAAATGGGAACTGGAAAACATTTATAGATCTAGCAATTTTCATGAAATTTCCACTAAGGAATTGGCCTTTTGAAAGATGGAATTCTGGTTCAGTGACGTATTTGTAATGTCAAAGGTTAATCTTTGTAAGTGATAAATGATTGAATTGTGATTCTTGGATAAAAGTGCAATAATGATAATGTGGTTATAATGTCCAGATCAGTTTTACAATGCAAAGAACACTGTTGAAATAATTAAAACTGATTTTGCAAAAATCCTATTAATTTGTTACCATGCATCACCTTTAATTCTGATATAAATACTGTAAAATGTTGATATAATGATCTTCATTTCAGCTGCGACCAAAATTAATATATTTCAAGGTCCACCTTTCCTTCATTCTTATTGATTCCTATAAACATCTCCACCGATGTATTACCAAGCTTCTTCATATTGCCATAATGTTTGCTGGACAAATGGTGAGAATGTAACAATGTCTAACTGTAGTTTCCTTGTTGAGAGTTTTTATCCAAGAAAGAGCTTGCCGCCTACTTGAGTTATATTTGCCTATGCCATCATTTTAGTTCATGAACATTTCATAAAATTAGATATCACGATTTTCATGTATGTATGTAATGCATTTTTTTCCCCTGACGATTCCAAACTATGAAAGTCGCTGATTATTCTTCAGAATTTAGGAATCAAGGAATGTGTGACTGGAGTGTTTAGAAAGGTAATGTGGTTTAAGTTAGGTGTCTGTTGTGTTATCATGGTTTATCGTATATGGATATAAAGTACGTAATATGTTAATTTATGTATAACCAGTCAATGTTTATGTTTATGTTTTGAAGTTGAGGCTATAATAGGGTGGCCTGTATGAAAATGTTTGGTGAATAAGTTTAACCATTTTTTCCAGTGAAGCAGTATTGCTGTTAATTTCTGATACACAAACAGCATTAAGAAGAATCTGTATCTTAAAAGCAGTAAGTTAACTTAGTGTTGTGATGTTTACTGCCGTCAGTTGAAGCAGAGGGGCACACAACTACTATTAAAATTGGTCTTGTTAGACTTTCAGTCGTTGGGTAAGTTATATCCCAATAACGTACCCAGCGGATGAAAGTCTAACAAGATCAATATTAATAGTAGTCGTGTGCCCCTGTGGTTAAAGTTATGCAGATAAAGTTGACTGCAGTCAGTGGAAATATTGTAGAAAACTTGTTTTCTGTTTTATACATCAATTCCTGCATTCATAGAGCATTCATGATAGAAGTCCATATATTGGAATGGCGTGTTATTGCCTGTTGTATCTTAATCCAGCAGTATCTTCTGCTTGTGTTGACATTTCTCTGCCTGTGGGGTATGACAAAGAAATATCCAATTGAGGGGTGAGGATTTATGTTTGTTTAAACCTGAATCTTATCTTTTAGAGTTGATATTATTTTGTCATTCACCCAAAGATAATTAATATTACAGATTTCTTAAATTAAACATTGTTATGCATATTAATCATGTCCTGGATAGCATATGTAAAGGATTTTTTTCTGTACAATATTTTTGTGCCACCTTCTATTTTTTTCTGTTTCTTTTTTGTTTAATCATGATCAAGAATAGCCTTAATTTCTTGCAGTGATTGGGTATATAGACATTTATGATGATTATTAATAAATGTTTTTTATGTTTGAAAGAAAAAATATGTTTTGTTCTGTTTGATATTCTATATTCTGAGAACCGACAATGCAAATCGAAATGACTTAGAAATAATGAACATATTGATAAAAAAAAACCTCTTCACACTCCGCCCAATGAGCAACCTCTCCGAACTTGGTAAAGGGAGAGAACTCGTGATCACACCATATATTGATGCAGAGACAAACATATAAATGAACACTTTCAGACTGTATTCACAACAGAACCGCACACCGAAGTTTAAGACTATGGATATTTCACCACACCCGCCATGCCAGAGATACACTTCTGACTTCATGTGTAGCAAACAAGAATACTCAAAAAAAATCAACGACATCATTTTAAGCTACGGGACCAGACCTTATTCACGGCTTCATTCTAAAAGAACTCGGACATTGTAGCATTTTCATAGCTTTCAAAATAATTTCAAATGACGGGACCAGAATTAATTTTAAAAGAACTCGGACATTATTGACAGGAACACTATTCTACAACTATAAATGAAAAACGTTTACCAAAAACGAATACCTACCCATCAACTACCGCCTCTCATGGAACATATCGTAAGTATCGCTTAAGCACATGTAGTAAACAATTAAATATCAAACAACTTTTAACAAAGATTCAACTCTTCTAGAACTTGTGAACAAAGAGCCAGACATCAGCAGAATGGACATTTGCAAAGCCTTTTACCTATAAAGTCCCAAGTTTAATATACAAATAACATAAGGAAAGAGTTGATACAAATGTATGTCATTTAAGATATTTTGTTGTAATAAATGTTACATTTGCATATTTAGTAGCTCTGAAATCTGGCAGCTACACTTCCATCCGGCTAAAACTATAATGGTATACCTAGAGCTCAACGGCGGTGTCCGCTTTGCAATAGAAACGACGTCGAGGATGAAACCTATTTTATTTTGTTGTGTCCAGTTTACTCGAAGCTTAGAACCAAATTTATTAAACCCTATTATTTCCGTCGTCCGTCCGTCTATAAATTAATACAATTATTCGCTTTCAAAAATGTAAAACAATTGAGAAACCTTATTAAGTATCTAACTCAGGCTACTTCTAAAAGAAAGTCTTTACTTAATATACGAGCAATCGTGTATTCCAGCTTTGTGCCACTGACAATGATTATATATTTTCTTTTGTATGTTGTCAACATTGCTATGATGTCATCTTTTAGATTACTCTATGTTCTCTGCCGTCTTACATAAATGGATTGTAATATTTACTTGTATGTACATGTATATTGTAACTCCTATATGCTATCTGTTGCATTTGGAAATAAAGAAATTGAAATTGAAATAAAAATGGGCGCAGGAACAAATACAACGGGAGCATCATTCAAAACAATTAATTGCTAGGATAACAATATAAAAAAATCACAAGTCTGTTTTTGTAAACCCGATGTTCAAACCACACGCACGAACTACATGATGGGTATGTTGTTTTATCGGCAGGCAAAATAATCTAATAATTTAATCTTTGCAGTCCAAACACTATAACATATCGCTCAATAACCAAGGAAAACCTACCTTTGCATATACAATGTACGCTTATCACGTTTCTGTGTTACAACTTTCCAAATACCTATCAATGATAACTATGCCGACCTGCCTCGGTTGTATTGGATTGCGAAACTTCACAAGATTGCTGACAAACACAGACCATCTAGATGTTTAACCCAGACAACATTACCTAATTTTACTGTCAATCGCAGTACCATTTTATCAGGGTTACAGTCGGATTGTAACACTTCATACTCGAGAAATGGAAAGATTTGAATGTTGGATTCGAAGAAGCGAAAAGATCTTTTGATAAATATTTAATGTCCTCTCCACGAAAATGTTTCCTGAACCAGAACTCTATGACTTTTGACTCTTAACACGACCATACCGCAAACCAAACCGAAGAAACGCTGTTTGTTCTCATAATATGAGCGTTTCTTTTTCCAACGAAGGCCAATGCTGTTATAAATATACGGTTTACAAGTTACTTTGGAGATCATCTTGTGAAAACACAACACAGAACAAAATGAAATATATTGATGATGAAATTGTGATAATATAGGCATTCCTACAGTATGGACAGGACTGGTAAGAAAAACCTAGCCTTAAATTTCACATTCAAATATATCGAAGAGGTGCTGTCTTTAAATAACAGGACATTTATTGACCACGTCTGACCGCGTTAAGGTCTGGTAAATGACATAGTAAAACCAATATTCGAGAAAGAAAGAATTGAGCAAGGAGAAAATAATTACAATAGTTGAAAGATTGGGTTAGTGAACCAATCATACCTTAAAGCGTCTCTTTCGGTTTTCCACATAGTCTGATGTTTTATATAATAAGTTACTCCATACTCTAAACTCCCATTCTCTTTCCCTCTCCTCCCTCTCAACAATTCCAAAATATCTTCTTTATTTGCATGTATGTTGAAATTTAATGAGGTGAAGGTCCTAATGCAAATTACATGTTGAATCGAGAGATAAGTTTCATTTTTGTGAAGAGATATATTGATTTGAGATTCATATTAGCTTTTCAATCCTGATGTGATACCTACAGTGAATTGCCAATACGTCTCTAATGAGGTGTACGATACACCCGAAATATCATCTCTATTACTTAACATGTTTTAAGCAGTTTTGTAAACAGACCCAACGGGGTGGAGACAGATATGTGTTCTACAATGAAAGACAGTCAGTTATATATTTTCAATTACTCTCAAAATAGTGCTGTTCAAGCTTTCTCGCAGAGGAGGAAGTAAAAACGTGACACATATGTAAAACACCCATGGCTCATGTGATTGTGACGGGATACTGTGCTTGTTGTGATAAGGCCTGTGTTTTGTATATATCAGGACCAATGTCAATAGATGTTTCAATGATTGGTATTCCAAATTACGAAACTAAAACATCAATATAACAAATATTAATATATAAAGGCCATATACATTTACTAATCTGTATATATTTGCTTTGTTTTTATTTGGGAATAACTATGACTTACTGTCACTAGAGTACCTTCACTTCACTGGACGATACGAACAACAAATTGTCGTATATGACATACACAATGACAAAATGTTTGGATTTAATACACTCATATAGAAAGGTAAGCTAATCCGTTAAGAGGTTGTTTCCTGCTATCTACGGTGCATATGCACTCTCAATATTTTTCCATTTTAACGAAGTAACATAAACTGTCACAGCATCAACACGCAAGGGAAAATTAAAAGATTTCGGCATGTTTGCTGAATCTATACAAGTAATAACTATGATTGATTTTCGGTTATACCGTATACCTCGAAACCAAGTGTGAACTTTGCATAAAATCCGCGATATACGATGTGCTGTCTTTTCTTTACGTAATACGTTATATAGAGAATAATACATGCCTTTTTCCATATCACAACCAGTATCAACGCGAGACTCCAATATCAGCCAGAAAACGAAAAATTTCGTAAGGGTTCCGAAAAATTTGAACTGTTCCAAAAGGAGTGTGCTACGTGTTTTGCGGGCTGATACGGGTTTAAGGGTGTGATACGGGGAGGGCTGATATGGGTTAAAACAATTGTGTCGTATCGCATTTACAAAAAAACCCATATTTTTTAGAAAGTATGTACTAAAACCTGATACAATCTAACATTTGGGGTATAGCAAAAGTTGAAATATATAAATACAACAAAGTTAAACACAGCATATAAATATAGGGGTTACCCTAATTGTATAAATTTGAGTAGAATACAAACTCTGCTATTGTAGTTGTTCGTGGCAGTTAAAGTACATGCAGATGCTGTTAGACCTCTGACCTATGTAGTAGGTATGATTGTACGCTTGACCCGTGCATTGTAATAGCATGTAAAACCTGACATGATACATGTAACTATCATATGTGACATAGCAACAAAGAAGAACCTGTCACTGCACACCATTACATAATGTACCACATTTACATCATAGCTGCACTCTCAGACAGGTGTAGAGTTCCCTATGTAGTGATGCACATGGTTTATCCCTTATACACATGTATTGCATGATGCGCAGCTGTATGTGTGATCCGGTCATACAAATGCTGTCCTTTTAGATGGACATACCATCCTGCTGAGTCAAATATGTCCTAAAAGTACAATATGACATATTCAAAATTCCTAGTTTTGAACAATGATCGCTACTTTGCTTATTACAGATTTTGCATGCAAGTATTCTAATACAGACAATGGCCTAGACATGTTATCTACTACATATGATTAGCAGTGAGTATTCTTCTACAGATCAATTAAACAAATATACTTTAGTAATTTAAATACGTAAAACTGGCAATGAATATTTTTTCTCTGTAAAAAAATAACAGTGAATATTTCTTTACGGTTAATCAGCAATAAATGTTCTAACGAAAATTACCAATAAATATTCTATGAATAATCAGGAATAAAAAGTCTACAGATAATCAGCAATGAATATGCTACATATAATCAGTAATAATGTAGACTCTTTAGATAATCAACAATAATAATTCTGTAGATAATCAGAAATAAGTATTCTACAGATAATCAGCAATAATCAATCTGTAGTTAATCACAAATAGATATTCTACAGATAATCACAAATAAATATTCTACAGATTATCACAAATAAATATTCTGCAGGTAATCAGTAAAAATGAAAATTTCTTATTTTATTTCAGTTATTAAGCAATTACTATTTCTCTACATGTATGTAATTAGGCATTAAAACTCTACTACAGATAATTAGCCATTACAATTTTATTATAGATTATTTAGAAACAACATCCATCTACACGTTATTAGCAGTGAGTATTCTATTAACAATGCATACACTAGCAATAATTAACATTGTGTACTTTTGACAATAAGGAAGCATCGAAATCGTTTTTTAGAAATTGTGAAACATATCATGATCAAGTTTGTATATAAAAAGCATTCAACACAGATAAATTTGACAAGCTGGTACAGTCATTTCGACATTGGAG